GCAAGTTTTTGTGTGTGGGCACTTTGATGTTTCGAAAATAAGCATTTGCCGCATGACGCCACCAGACAACATTCTCTCAATTTCAGTGTTTAAAAACATATAAATCTTAAAAAAAAAAATCCCATTTGCATAAGCATTTGCCGCATAACGCCACCAGGCTACATTCTCTCAATTTCAGTGTTTAAAAACATTCAAATCTTTAAAGAAACTTGCTGAATAATTTCCTAAAACGTAATCATAAATAATCCCATAGGGAACAGATTTTTATTTTGATTTAATATCAAAATTTCATCGATGTTACCACTAGCACCCTTTTTTCAAATGAGCCATATTGGCTGTCAAACTATCGAATTGCCTGCAATAGATGTCAAGCAATAAGCGCTGACATATATTGTAGCCAATGAGAAATAAGCGGCCTCCAGTGGAAATATATTTTTTGACATGGTTATCACGACATCAGTGTTTTCCTGTGGAGACAGGGCTTTATGGGCACCTGCGGAATCCTGCGTTGCGTGTGGGAAAGCACCCATTTTAACCCCTGTGTAGCTCCTGCCAGTTGACATTCTCCACAACAGCTGTTTCCGTCAGCTGGGAGTTCATCCGGATAGATGAAACTATCTGGCGTGGCTGCCAAGTTCAGTCAAGAAATGTCGCCCAGTGTCTAAATATTAGTTGAAGTTAAATTTTTGTCTTATCGAGAAAAATTGGGTACACAATTTTCATAGAAAATAAACTGCCTTATGTTTTTTTTAAGAGATGTGTCGATATCTGTCTAGAAGTTGCGCTAGCTCTACGTTGCAAATTTTAAAGTTAATTTTTTAAGTGTGCTGGGAACTCTGGCCGTGTTAATGGTATTCATTCAGTGTTTCCTATTATCGAAGTTTTTTTGCATTGTTTGGAGCAGTTTGGAGGAAGTTTTGCGTGTTTCTTGCTTCAATTTGAAGCCTTCTCGTTAAAATCTCAGCATTTTGCTGAAATTCATAACAAGGTAAAGCCGTTTTTGTTCAAATCGTAATAAAAGTTTGTAAATGGTCTTGTTAACGGGAGTAGGTAAGCAGTTATTTCTGGGTAAGTAAAAAAGTTAGATTTCGGCCTACTTTTGGAGAAACATCTGAATTATAGCCCTAATTTTCCTGGTAATTTGCCTAGCATTACTTTGTAAATTTATGCAATTTTGACTCTATGCATTCATAAGACAGTAGAAAGAAGTGAGGGGTGAGGCTAGCTGTGTGACACGAAAGATGCATGTCATTTCCATGTAGTGTTGTTACTTTCCCTACCCACATGAAAATTTCATTATGGACAATATCAATATTACGTTTTTGCTTTTATTATCTTGACTTGATAATATTAAAAACATATGCCATACTGGTGGTGTTTCAATAAAACTGTGTATGTATATATTATTTTCATGCCTACAGTAGATAGTAATTAAGTTATAACTTGGCCGTACGTACTATGTATGTATGTTTAAATGTAGTTTTCCATTACTTGCTACGTCACAAGCAGGGAGTATGTACACTTGTACGTACATGTACCTATTCCATGTACATACATACATATACACTTTTTGGGAGACTATGCAAATTTTGCCCTTTCTGAATATTTACTAATTAACATGAATGCAATCATATCTTTTCACTAGGTTTTTTCTCGTGCAAGGCAATAAAAAATTCTGTTTAGCTACATAGTTTTCATTAAAAAAGCGATTTCGTTTACCAATTGATTAATTAAAAAAATATATATCATCAAAATAGTTTGGAATTTTGTGCCACATTGACATGACTATATATAATAAAACAAATATACATATTTTACTTTTGGAATGCACATTTAACCTAACCAAATCAAGAATTAACTAAATTGAAAATATATTCAATTAGACTAAATCTAATAAAAATTAAATTCAAGCGTGTCCGCTAAATTGTTGAATGTAAAATCAAGCCATATTCGTTAAAGAAAAAAGGTAGGAAAAGTAAAACCGCATCGAATATAAGCAAGAATTTGCAACCTTCGTCGTCAAACATTCTTTTATTTTCATTTCAGCAACAAAACTCCAACGGTAAACTAACAACTTTTGAAGGAATCGCTCTCTAAACCGTTGCTCTAATTCAGTCTCTTTGTTTTGAAAATATAGAGCAAACAGAAAATTCTCTATTAACCATATTAATTAGTAAGAATCGACTAATAAATAACAAAAAAAAAAAATGGAGATGGAAACCACAACATCCACCACAAAGCTTATTGCACCTGATGTCTCGAAAGACAATTTTGTTTCCGATAATAATATGGCTGGTTTCGTAGCAGACGATAGTTGCGAATTTGAATCGCCGGAACATTCGTGCGTAGAGTCAATAGGACGTAGCGATGGAGATGATGAAGATGAGGACATTATTTTCCAAGAGGTCAAAATGATATTGCGTAAGCGCCGTGGCTGGGGACCCGAAGATTCGCTAAGTACTAATGATATAGATTTGCTCGAATATGATGATGAGTTAGTGGAGGAAGACGATGCAGGATGTCCTTTGCCTTCTACGCCTGAGGATACACAACTCATTGAGGCTGAGGTGAGTAAACAGGAAGAGGCTATCTATGCTTTTTACACTTATTTTTTACTTAGTTTTACATCGAATTCGGCAGTGTATACATAGATACATATATGTATGTAATTAACTGCAGCTGCGCTTATATACATATGTACATATATATATAAGTTCGTTGTAAGGTGCCTGTTGTCTTTCTTATCGTTAATTTTTGAACTTAAGTGCAAGAAATGTGATAATAGCCCAAAAGCAAAATGTTATTCTGGCATAAAATCTTTTGTTTTTGAAATAACCATATTTCACTGTTGATAACTAGGGTTCGGAATCTCATGCAAACGCATGTTATTATTGGGTGCCTTCAAATCGAAATGGTTCAGTTATCTTTACGAATCATGAAATTTCCTTTAAAATGTTATTCAAACGTTAGTGCGTATTTTGCAGTAAATGCATGGTTTTCCAATTTTTTTTCCAAAAAATACTCTTTTTTTTTTGCATATTTTTTGTACATATCTTAGTATAGATATTTTACAATGAATGCATATGGTTTTTTCATATTTTTGCTGTTTTATTTAGTGCGAAATCACTTGACATAAAAATTACCTTTAATTAGTGAGGACTGTAGGAGATTTATCTCTGATCAATATGAAATTACCCTAATATGAGGTGCGGCTCGGCACTAAATGTGTGGCACTCAAAAATTACCGAAATTTATCACTTGGGGGTCAAGCAGATGTAGAACCGCACAGGATCGTAAGGGATTCCCCGACAGTTCTGGGTGTCCTACAACCCACTTAAAACCAAAGCTCTTAAGAATGAGCAAAGAAGACTTACTGCAGTGTGCACAGGGTACTGGCCCGTTGGGGTACATGCCGAAAAAAATGGATTGCTCTTATCAGGTTCTGTCGCAATTGCGATTACCGACTTAAAAGAGACAGTCGAACACTTCCTGTGCGAGGATAAGGCTAAAGATACTTGGTAAGCCATTCCTGCGTAATGTTTTAGGGGCCAGCTGCCTCTCTCTGAATGGCGCACTATAATTCATTAAAGCCCCCAAATGGCTGTAGGTTGTACGAGTTGTTGGATCAAAATGGCAAATTTGCTAGTTGCATGTCACCAGGGTGACATCCACTTAAACCCAGAGACCCAAAATAATTTTTATCCTAATATATAAAATCAAAAATGTCGCCTTGTTTTAAGAGAAATTTCTTTCGACTTTGTATAATAATTATGTAAGATAAATATCCTCTTTCGTCTCGCGGGATGATTATTTTCAGATGGAAATTATTTACGTCTTTTCATAATAGTTATGTGGGACTTTTATATTTCTTGCCTCTCAGGACGTTTCAAGACGAAAATTAGTTATTTCCGTCTTCTAATAATAATCATGTGGGACTTTTATTTCAAATGACTTACCACTTAATAATTATGTGGAACTTTATTTTTGTTTTCGTCTCGTGGGACGTAGATATGTTTTTATAACGGAAATGACCTACGTCTTTTCATAATAATTATATGCGACTTTTATTTTTTCGTCTCTCATGACGTTAATTTGAGGACGACAATGATTTACATCCCACGTTTTCTCTTGATATAATCGGTACATGTACTGCAGATTTCACGAAATTAAACGTTTATCTCCGAGCTCGATTATTGGAATATGATTTGCTAACATCTGGCAACCCTTTTCAAAAAACTAAAACCACCGCAGTTTTGAAAATCGAATGAACGATACAGAAATCTACGAACTCAATTAAGAAATTTCATTTCAATAAAAGTCCCATATAATTATTAAGGTAAGACGTATATCTTTTCCGTCTTGAAATAAACGTAACGAGAGACAAAAAAAAAAAAAAAACTCCTCCCTAATGATTATAAGAAGACGTAAATAATATTCGTTTTTAATTTAAGGCCCCCGTGGGGGCGAAAAAAATAAATATCCCATATTATTATTATGAGAAAACGAAAATTATTATTTTTTTGTTTTTTTGCGTCTAAAAATAATCGTCCCGCGAGACGAAAAAAAGTTTTCCATTGTTCAGTAATAATTATAGAGCAATATTTCATTTTACTTCTTATGATCGTTATGGTCTCTGCTTAAACCAACCAAACATCTATCTGAACTAAATATTATGTTAAATACTATGTTTCTATTTACCCAAGATTGAAACTGTCTGTTTTATTATAAACAAATTGTATACATAAATATGTAATATATTTTGAAGTGAACTGTTTTTGTTATTTTCTTGTTAAAATCCATGTGCTAGTTATTTTTGTGACGACAACAAAATATTAGAAAAATATTTTGTATTGCATATTTTACGTGTTTATAGCGCATATTTTCGAGATTCCGAGCCCTATTGGTTACGATACACAAAAAATGTAAAGATACATATCTGGAGGAAAGTTTATATAACATGGAAAGTGATGAGTAGTTCTACTAATTAGATAGTGGCTCCAACAGTGTCGAGAGTATGACGAGAGTTTTTATTTATTTTTCTACATGGCGCAGACAATTGCGAAATTTCAAAGCGGCCAGCTTCTGTTCCGTCGGGAGAAGAAAAGTGTAAAATGTTGTCTCCAGTTGATTTCTTATTAGAAATTGTATGAATATGTACAACTATTCAGCTAATTGATTGCCATTCTTATCTATAGCAAACAATTTGTTGAAATGATAGGGTCTTTTTGTATCTAAATATTTTCCAACACAAATTATTTGAATCCGTAAGAAAGAAAGATAAGAAATGCATAATGCCATCAATATTACAATTTAACTTTCGCAGAGAAGGTAAAATTTCGAAGGTTATTGTCACAAAAAACGTTTATAACATTCATACATACATATGTATTTTGCAACAATTTTCAATACAATTTTTCAGAAAATAAAATAAACTCTGTTAAATAAAATGTATGTAATTTCAGATGACCGAAGTGCTAAAGGCTGGTGTTTTATCAGATGAGATTGACTTGGGTGCATTGGCCCACAATGCTGCCGAGCAGGCTGAAGAGTTCGTCCGTAGGGTAAGTTAATAAGTGTGTTTTTTATTATACTAAAAACTGTTACACAAGTTTTAGCAATATAAATAAATACAAACCTTTTAATACCATTTTTTTCTAATCAGGTATGGGAAGCTAGCTGGATTGTGTGTCACTATAAAAATTTACCCAAGTGGCTGCAAGATAATGACTTTCTACACCGCGGCCATCGTCCGCCACTGCCCTCGTTCAGTGCCTGTTTTAAGTCCATATTTCGTGTCCATACTGAAACAGGCAATATTTGGACACACTTGCTGGGCTGTGTAGCCTTTATTGGTGTGGCTCTGTACTTTTTGTCTCGCCCTTCTGTCGAGATACAAGTACAAGAAAAAATTATATTTGGTGCCTTCTTTGCTGGCGCCATCATTTGCCTGGGCTTCTCATTCGCATTTCACACGCTTAGCTGTCATTCGGTGGAGATTGGAAGACTGTTTTCAAAGTGAGTGAAAAATTTTAATCAAACGCACTGCAGTAACTACTAACGGACACATATATCCGTAATTTCTTTTTACGCTACAGATTAGACTATTGTGGAATTGCATTACTCATAATGGGTTCGTTTGTACCCTGGTTGTATTATGGGTTCTATTGTCATTATCAGCCTAAAGTGATCTACTTATCAGTAGTATGTGTATTGGGCACTCTATCAATTATTGTTTCGCTGTGGGATAAATTCTCTGAACCTGCCTTGCGACCTCTCCGCGCTGGAGTCTTCATGAGTTTCGGTCTTTCAGGCATAATACCAGCTATTCATTACAGTCTCATGGAGGGTTGGTTCAGTCAAATTAGTCAGGCCAGTTTGGGTTGGTTAATTTTAATGGGTAAGTAATACGCTTCTCTTATATTTACTAAATTAAATACATTTTTGTGCACCGTCATACAATTCCAGGCCTGCTTTATATACTTGGTGCACTTTTGTATGCATTGCGAGTACCGGAGAGATGGTTCCCAGGCAAATTTGATATATGGGTAAGAATATAATGGTTTAATTTAATTTCTGAAAGTTGAAACACTTATTATATTCACCGCATAGTTCCAATCGCATCAGTTGTTCCACATACTCGTCATTGCGGCAGCATTTGTGCACTATCATGGAATATCCGAAATGGCGATGTATCGTGTTACAGTAGGCGAATGCACCGTACCTCACGAACCAATTACTTTTTAAGCGGAAAGGCAGGAAGGCATACCAATTTTAAAGCTAAGGCAATTGTTTCCGTGTCTATTAATAATATGTGTTAACAACATCAACATCACAGAATTGGCTGCAGGCAGTAAAAAGAGGAGATTTTATGAACGAATTGCAGAAGCTGAAAGTTATTAAATATATTCGTAACATTCAAAAAATACATTATAATAAATCATTTAAAATTAGCGGACTCAAAATAGAAAAAATAAATATAAAACATATATTTCCATATATCTATACTGTGAGGAAATTAGAGGGTCCACTTAGTTGTAAAAATTTAAAGTCTGCTTAACTGTTATCAGCATATAGTTGCCGCAAAACAAACAATATTGTGAACACGATTGTTCACATACATTAAAAAAAATGTTTACGCATAGCCACCAGAACAAATTGAATGTACTTTAATCGCTCGTTAATTATAGCCACAAAACGAAAGCATACAGATAAGCTGAGAAATATGCCGAATATATGTAGTAAAATATACATTTAATTCCTAATTCCGTAAATTGGCGCAATAACCAATCACAATCTGCATAGTTCGATTGCACGAACTTTAGATTTTTTTTTTTTTAAGAATAGTCATACTCCTACGTAAACAAATATGTATGTATGTAATCCCTCACGACCAATGCTCAGATAGAGCCGCTTTTTCGTTATCTATTAAACATGTGGGCAAATCCTAGAAGTAGTCAACCCATATATCGTCGCCTGGGTAGAAGATTGTCGTATGTTAATTTCGGCAGGTTGTGGGAAATCACGAATGAAGTTTGGAATGAAATTTCTCAAAAACGCGAAGATAGATTTTCTCCAAAGTCTTAAATTATTTAATTTTTAATGTTTATTGTTAATTAGTTTTGTCGTAAGCGTCTTTTGTCCACAATTTGGCAGCCGCTTTGTATGAAATACGACAAAACGTGATCAAAATTTCTACTAAATTAACGACACTTTTTACTTTCGGAAACTAAAGGAGATATCAAAAAATGGTGAACTCCATTTTTAATATATTGATTAGTTTAATATGACTGCATCACTAATTAAATTTTTACTAAATTATCGAAAAAATTGGTGAATATCTCTGAGGCTAAAGGAGATATCTAAAAACTAATGACACCAATCGAAAGACCTTACTTCAAAATATATAACTGCATCTAGAACTAAAAATCGTCAAAATGGCGCTTCCGACAATCTTTTACCCAGGCGACGATATTTTAAACTCCTATATTGGCAGTGAGAGCTAGTACCGTCGGAAAACATTAGTCAACCAAAAACGAAAAAAATTTATGTAATTCACATTCTCAATTTTTTATTCATCAATTTCATATTTCTTCCCACTTATTTGAGAAATGTGATTTGCCCCTTATACTTCTCGAAACAAGGCTTGGAACAGCTTTAGTTTTAAGCTCTATATCTTTCAATAAAATACCACAATATCGCTTTTAAAAAGAAACAAATTTTGTAACAGGAAAATTACGAATATCCGCAACGAACATATCTTATAGTTACATTTTATTAACTCCGTTATTTTCCATTCAAAATATTCTTGCAGATTGTGTTCTCCGGCAAAAAAATGTAGAAATGTCCGCAACGCGAGGATTTGCCCATATCTAAAGTAAGGTCTTTTTTCTCTAAGCTACTTAATCTTCACATACAATATCTCACACTTTAACAAAAAATATGAATTTTTAATTTAAAATCACATAGTAGGTACATAAATGGTTTTTTTTTTAAAGTCTTGTTTGTTGCTTAATTGTTATAGGGCTATAACTTACACACAAGAGGTTTACGCCGACAGGATTTGCGGCGGCGGCGACGCCGGCGCGTCTGGAAACGCCGGCGCTACTGCCCATAAGAGCCATGAGGCTACTAATCTTATCATGTCATCTCGTCAGCGTTAGGCATTCGCCATGCCAATTCAGATTATAATTCTATTTTTTTCATTATTAAATTAGTTTACTTCCTACTTAAATTAAAATTTTGAGTGCCTGGCGCTGATGGATGGTGGCACAGAAGAGTGTCTGAGGTATATACATACATACATGGTTCTCTATAGATCCGAATGCACTATTTAAATTTAAAGAAATAAATAAATTTAAAAAGTTAAGTTATTGGAGTAATTCATTAATAATTTTTTCTTATAACCTTATCTACCGTTATGTTAAATTACGGGGTTCTTACGATTTTTTGCGTGTTATAGATTGAAAACTAGTGTGGTCTACTATGTATTTTCCAACAGTTTTGCCCATCAACACCCAGCAGAACAGGCCTCTTTGACCCATTGTTTAAAATATGGCTTATAGATGATTAAAATTTCCACTTAAATATTAAGCGGAAAATTTTCCTAGGGATAACCGGAAGTAATGAAAAATACTACTAATTTCCACCAAGAAAAAACATTGCGATGCGATGGAGCAAAACCTTCCTGCGGTTAGAATGCTAACATAATTTTCACACACCACCTAGAACTTGTATACGTCTGTGGGACGCCAGAATAAAATAACTTGCTTATTTAAAATCTGTTTAAAAAATATTCAACTCTTTTTTTTTTTTGATTTGACCTCACTTTAGATCTAGGTGTGCGATATGACAAATATGTAGAGCATTCAATAAGAATCATTGCATTAATCTAATAAAAATGTCGGTTTCAATAACTTTTAAATTATTTTATCGTACATTTAGTTAGCAATTGGGTTTAAAATTTATTTGCTTTGGGGAAAATATATTTTTATTCTTTACAAAATTTTTAAATTAATAATGTAATTTTACTAACGACTTCATACACATAAATATGGCATACACACAGATTTGAAGTTCGATTAAATTAAAAGAGTAAAGAGTAAAAGCTCAAATAGTCAACGACGTAGTGTAGCCGTAGGTTGACGCAGACACGATCTACCTTATGGAGTTCGCGTGTTAACGAAAACTCACCACCGCATGGCGGTGACGTTGCCGTTGCTTCTCTCTTTCTCTATCAACAGTAAATTTGATATGCTGCTATGTACGTCAACCTACGTTTACGCTACGTCGTTGACTAACTGCGCTTTAAAGCATTACAATGAACTAAAAGTTATCAAATTTGTACAACTACTAAAAACACTAGTTGTAAATGTTTAAGTATAAATAAAAAATAAACTTAGTTCAAACCTTAGAATTTACAATATTAAATAGTTTTTGTTATTGTTTTTCTTTTTACGACTAAAAGGTAATTAACAACAATAATTATGTAGCTATACATATCCAATCCGTACATACATACAAGCAACCAAATTGGGTGTGTTCACAAATGCATCAAGCCAAAATATCAATCTCATCATCAATCAGTGTTAACTGACGAATTTGCAACTTAGTTGCGTAAATAAGGCATTTCCATCAATTATTGTTTGGAAATAAGGGAGACTGATGCTTGATGCCTTTCTGAACACACCCATTAGTACGTTTGTATATAAGAGTGGCTGACGTCCAAAACGTACCAATACAATGTTTGGATACCGTTCTACTGCGGCATTTAAACTGTTTGTATATGCAGAGTTGCGGAACATTGTAATCAATTACATTGCATATTTTTGAATATGTAATATAACAATGATACCAAGCAAGTGTGAACAACCTAAATGATCACCCTTTCGGAATTTTCCATCTTTAAAATACAAACAAGCGAAGCATCAACTTTGTTTCTGATGCCCTGATTACTCTATCGATGCGTTTCGTTGACCTTTCGGATGCGTAGTTCGTAATTTGTAGTTCGGCGTTATGGAACATTATCACCCCTACTGCGAATGTCGACTAGTAGTAGATAAACGATTATGGATGGCAACGCAACCGCAGTTGGGTTGCCGATGGGCAACGCTACTGAAATGAAAATTTATATTATGAATAGCAACTATAGTTAAGTTCTATAAAGTTGAAGGTAATAAATTTTGAAGAACCGGCAACTAAGACTTGAGTATAAATAAGCTGAAGAAACAGCCCGACAATAACAACAACAACAGCTTAAGCCCGAAGAGGGCCTTGTCATTGGTACAACGATTTCATCTCAATTCACATTCACGTCGTCTTACATAAATAACCTAATGAAAGCGTTATGTCCGTGAAGAAGTTCTTATAGCAACAATGATCCGGCTCGTTGGTGAATCGTCCTTGAATCTGTATAGAAAAGGTGGTGGCAATTTCAAAATGGGAGAACATCATTGGTCCACAGAAAACCAATATATGTACATAGACTTATTTCAGACGAAATATCATAAATACAATTACAATTACAGTTGAATTGTCTTTATTTTTTTTAGTCACCGTAAAGCATGCACCGCAATGGTTAAGGTGGTCCGTTTAACAATGGTAATATGATTTTGATACCGGGTGTCTCCGAATGACATCACTTAACGATTTTTAGCAATAACTCGACACCATTGCGGCTCTTTGTTTCAATACTGTTGCCCCTACTGTTACCAATATACATCTCAATTATGAGACAAATCGGACCATAAATACGATTTTTAGTAATAACTCGACTCTAGAGCGACCTGGCGAGCAATTTTTTTTTTTTCGCAGAAATATTTCCCTTCACGTTGCCAATACATATTTTTAATATTAGCCAGATCAGTAGCCCGTTTCTGTAACTTTTCTCTACCAATTATTTCTCTACTGGTAGAGAAAATACGTCACTCTCACCTACTAATTAGCAGTAGAGAACAGGGCGGCGAATTCATATCTCAATTCGCCTTGGTAGAGAATTGTTACAGAAACGAGCTACAGATCATAAATACGATTTTTTATAATAACTCGACTCCAGCGCCACTTTCCGTTTTAAGTTGAGAACCTAAACCATTGTGGAAGAATTTGTACACAATGACCTAAACTATACAGGGATTTTAGTACAAACAAACATTCATTCAGGCTTCTGAAAAACAAAACAGGCTTGGACTCTATGATGCTATACCGACTTTGATTTCCACTTTTTCCACATTCTGTTGACTGCTAATAAGAACAGCCTCCGCCTTTGGGCTGCTGGTGGTAATAAGTTTATGCTTAGCCAATCTTCGGTTTGGATTTCTTCGCGATGACTACTAAATAAGTAAATGTCTTTGCTGTTACAACAAACGGCTTCGATCGCATCTGTTATCGCACGCCTCTTCCTAAAGGCATGTCGGTTATTTTACAGCTGTTTTACTTCGAATAATGTATGTGTGTATATAAGTATGAGTATGTTAATAGAAATATTTGTTTATTTGTCTAATTTGTTTGGCAGCCTCGCATTATTTATGGTTGCCTGATGAAGTCGCAGACAAACGTTTTTGCGAAATTTACTTAGTCGTCTTTGACCTGCTTCATTTAAATAAAATTTTAAGGTGATTTTGTTTTTATGCCTTTTTCGCATAAATATATGGGCACATACACACATATACATGCATATTTGCAAATTAGGCTATAATGATACCAAAAATAATACGAATAATGTTTTAACAAAAAATTTAATGCACATATTTAAATCGTTCATTAATCTTACAATTTTATTACCAAAAATATAAAATACCTACATATATACTTGTATCACGCAGAGCAATTATTGGTTCTTTATCAGGAAAGATAATTCGACTGTTCTCCCATAACTAAAAATAGGAATTGCAAAGGTGTTCTACTAAGATTTGCTAAAGAGGGCTTTAGGAGAGGAAAGGTCACACTCTCTACGAATACGGAAAAGAGAAGGTATTCGCTTATTAGATGACATATGTAGGTAGAGCCATAATTTTGGAGAAAAGGCTTAAAATAGAATTAAGCAGCAAAGCAACCTGGTACTTATCATCCTTAGAGAGACTCCTCCACGTTGGCAAACTGCGCGAAAGCTCTGAAAGGTAGAGGGGCAGGGGTCTTCGCATTTCAAGTGAAAGTTTATGTCATCACAAATACTAATATTTATTTTTTCGACCTTATTTGTATGGGAAGAGGAATTGGATAGGCGTAATTTTAAACATTAACGATAAATATTATGTACATAAAAAATTATTTTTAAATTAAAGCTATATGCACTCCGAGCAAAAGCTCGCTCGATATGGTACTTAAACTTTATTAACGTTGCTTGTAACAGGCTTACAAAATCGAGATATACTATCCACATATCGTTACCTTAATTCACAAGGGCTCCAACCAACAATTTTTTTTTTTTATTTTGCGGGAAAAGCAGAAACATTATAAAAAGAGTATCAAAAACAGGTAGGTATTTTTTTTAAAAGAGGCATGTAACACCGTTGTTTTTGGTAAAATAAAATTTTTATTAAAGGCATATTTTAATATATCCTACCAAAATCTATAAAAACGCAGTTTCGCAAAAAATTTTGGTTAGGGCTATTGGGAATTAAGTTAACGATATGTATGTATGTAAATAGGGCAATGCATACCAAAATGCGTACAATGAATAGTGCCATGCCGGTCTGTCCGTTAGCGATGCCTCGAGGGAAACTTGGTGTCGAGGTTGGCCTTAAGCCAAAATAACGGTAGCTTTGAAAAAATATTCCAAACTTCAACAACTTCTGGAACTAAATTGCTCTAAAATTAATATATTGAGTAATCATTTTGTGAACAACTAATTTTTTACGAAATCATGTGAAATCGGCTTGGAACTACCTACATACACTGTACAGCTCAGTAACCGATTTTTACATTTTCTTGTATTTTTGCTTCTTTTCCACCAAACGTGTCTAAGATTACTTTAAATTTAACCAATTAGCTCATACATACCTAGTTAGTAATGTATACATAATATGTATTAAGTATATACATATTTGAGAATTCCACCGATTGATCCAAATATGGCATTTTAATTCTTAACTTGTCCCAAAATATTTTCAAATTTATATTTGAGCTACATAATAATAATAATAATAATAATACATCATAATATTGTTGTATGTGCTATTACTCTGACTACAAATATCACTTCGTTCATATTTTAGTTCTCCTACCTGATCTGTGCCTCAACGAAACATAGAACCAAGTAAAACAAGAAAGGTCCTCGTGTGTTTTCCGATTCTGGCCGTGCTTCTTATCCATTCAAGTAGAGAAGTAGCAATAGCAGAGCAATGTTTCCATTTCCTCTGCTGCTATGAAGTAGCAAACCCAATCACTGTTGTTGAACTGTGCACTACACTTTGTAAACTATGGCTTCCAGAATGACCGCATTCACCAGTCCTAAATTTGAAAATATATGCACATAAAAAGGTATCGCATAATCGTAAGAAAGACTGTTTTCCAAAACATATCAGTTTTTAAGCGCACAACCATGAAATTCCTATTTACAACTTGTTGAACTGACTCGTTTTGGAAAACAGCCAAAGGCTGACCTACTACACTTTTTTACATATGTAGCACTGCACTTTCTTTTGTTGTTTACATTTGCACATAATTAGCCGGTTCCCGTACTTCACGATTTGCAAGATTTGCAGGTTTTACCGGAACAGCTGTTTTTGCCTTTAATAAGCCTTATGTGTACGGGAACGAATTTGGACTAAATCCTGCAAATCGTAGACGTTCTGGAACGCACTAAATAAGCCTGTTCCAGGTACTTCACGCTTCGCAGGTTTTTATAGGAAGCTGTTTCTGTACGCCATAAGGTTTATTAATTGCAAAAACAGCTTTTCTTGTGAAATGTGCAAATCGGGAAGCACCAGGAACATGATTAATGTAGGCAGTTGCAGCAGAAGCAACGTTTATTCGTCGCATGAAAACTTACCGAATAATGTATGCAGCGCTGTTTATTGGTGGCGGCGTTGAAGGTGGTGGATATGCTGGTGTGGTGCCTGACTGGAGGTGGCGTTGATGTTCCGTGGTAGCAGGGTCGAAGATAAATTTAGAATGAAAAATCGCAAATCTGTAAATGCAAAATTATCAATTAAAATATACAAATGTTTGAATAATTCTAATACATACCTTAATTATATGATTAAATCGCAGTGTTTCGGCAATCTAAAAGAAAAAAATTCCATTATAAACAATGCAAATTGTTAAAACGTTCTCTTACCTTCAAATGTTTTTGCAAAATTAACGCTTTTATTTACAGCCTACTGTGATCAAAGATGTCAAACTTTTGCTAAAGTCACAGCCTCTGTGATCAAAGCTGTCAAATTTTGCTTCATTTCCACTTACTCGCTCTAACGCATAAAATTCTTATTACAGTAAAAATTTTTATTAGGTCCGGTTCTCTCACTCAGAATTTTGTTTTGACAGTCGGAAAAATAAATTTGTAAATGTGTGGGTAGCATAGCTAAAAAGTTGCGAGTGTGTGTGTAAATCTGTTGAATTTCAGGGGCAACTGGTTAGCTGTGGCTTGCAGGGTAAATAAATACATACATATGTACATAGATATGTACCCTGCAGGGAACGGAGCTAGTTTGTAGCTAACTTATAACTACCCAGCCGTCTACTAGTTGTAACTTTTTATTAATTATTTCCTTGGGCTGTAACTAACTACTTTTGAAGGGCCATGACCGTAAAATATAGTTTGAACTGATTTCCTCTGCATTAGATGTCAACTAACTTCTAGCTAACTACTTTTGAACATAAACTATCAATAAAAAAGATTTTTTAAATTTTTTATATTTTTATTTATTTATTTTATTTAGCATTACATATTTGCTTATTTGTTTAAATACGTGTTCTTTTGTAGGTTGCCATTTTGCCAAATTTCGGCCTTAATTTTATTGGTCCGAAATTCGAAAAATAATCTGCGAAGTGCAGAAAAAAAGTGTATTGCAAGTAATTTTTTTATGAGGATATTTAACTAGAAACTTGTAAAGGAAACAAATTCCCGATAACGTCTGCATGACTCCTGCACGACTTTACAACTCACTTACAGCTAGTTTTGTCATAGCTAAGTAAAAGTTTATCGAAATCCCGCATAAAAGCTAACTATAAGTTGGTTATTTTAATCAACTGATAAGGTTTTTCTGCAGGGTGCATACACTACTTCATTCACACGTAAGCATATCTGCGTGGTGTCAATAGTCGAATGAAACGTTTTAAATGCGGAAGGAAATGATAGTTATGCCATTTTGGTCAATCAATGATTTTTGAATATATTAAATTTTTGGCATCTTTTGGGAAGTTCGCTTTATTTTTTGTTTAGTCTTTGTGATTTGTTGCCTATGGCGATGCTGATGTGACTGGTGTAAAATTTATTGTATTTGATGCGTTTATGGTTATCGCTGTCGCATCGTTGTTGTTTATGGCCACTTTTCTGAGAGCTGTAGCTCAATGATTAATTTGCAAAAATACACGTGCCAGACAGATATTGGCCCAGCAGGTTTTTTTTTTGACAGATATCCCATTGAAAGTTATGTCAAAAAGCTGCTTTTAACTTTAGAGTCGACTTAATTTTTCACGATAGCTACTGGCCATTATATTGAAGACAAAAAAGTCCAGCCTTTTTTTCCGTTTTCCTCAAAGGCCATCCCAAGAAGTGTTATGGCATCCTATAATTTAAAATTCATTGAAAAATAAAAAAAAACTGGAATGATTAATTATTTTTTCAGAAACTATCAGTCCTATCGGGTATATACGGTGTATGGAGAATTTCATTAGCTTTAATTTGCCGTATATTAAGATTTTTAAATTGGTTCGTAAGATATACGTGATTAAAGGGAACCAATTTTTGCTTTGAGTTGAAAAACGGTAAATTGAAAATATGTATCTCGAAAACGTATACATACAAAAATAGATTAACTAGATTTTCGGAATCACCAAGCGATTCTACATAGGAATTGGATAGTGTTCTTATTTTGTTCATATTGAGAACGTTCCCGAGAATTTTGTTCTTTGCGGAAATATTTTCGAACATTTTATTATCATTTTGTTCCCAGTTCAAGCTGCTCTTAATACTTTTATTCCCGTTTGGTTCTTTTGCGGGAACATTCCTGACATCGCATTTTGTTCTCGTGCAGAACTGAACCAAACCGGAACGCATTCTCACTAGGATCATATTTCGAAAATCCATACTTTGTCATTATGATTCTTTTCGAAAATACATTTTTAAATCTTCAGGTGGCGATGGATTTTTCGGCAGTACACTGTTCTTTATTCCGCATAGATAGCGTCGCATCTTCCCATATTGAACTAAATGAGCATCGTCAAACATTTCTCGCATAGAGCATCTTTTTAAGGAAGACATGCAACTTTTAAATTTGTTGGCTCATAAACACTTTATCTCTCAGATCCTCCATGGCACAGTATACAGTAAACCAGCCATTGACAATATGCTTATTTGAAAATTAATACATGAAATATTGTGCATGTGTAGGATTTTTTTGTCATTAACCCATAGGCAACTTCTGGTGCAAAAGTACCCACAAATGTTTGATGATATATTCGAAATGTAAATTTAAACAGCAAAATTCATAAAAAAAAATAATAATAAAACAAAAATATTGTTAATTAATACATGGGATATGGGCGTGGTTATTGACAGATTTCGCCATAATTGATTACTAGCCTAAATTAGGCAACTTCGGCACCGACTTTCGTTAAAAGATATAAATTTTGTTCGAGTTAGCGTGTTTACAAACAGACACGGCTGAACCAATTCATCTCGTCATAGATAATCGATGGGACAATTTTCCAAAGTCAGCCCACCATTATTCACTCAAAGTTGTGTTCGGAACACGGTATGTCTTATGTATGTAGGAACTGCATCCGGTCATAATCGCTTAAACTTTGCTCCTGATTTGCGTGGAATTTTGTTTTTCGCGTTATTTTATTTTATGTGACTTGAAAATATTTTTCACTATAAGGAAATATTGAAATTTAATCTCATTTGGGTTAACGAAAACGACAACTGTGAAAAAATATCAACCAATACATTCAAACAAATTGTCAAATAAGCATATTTAGATTTTTTGTTTTGCCTATCTGGATTACTGTATACAGTGCTCCATAGGAGGATGCATTTGCGAACTGAAATTGTTCTTGCATCTTTCATTTTCATCAATGAAAACACTGACTCCACAATTTTTGCCATAACACGCATTATATCTTGTTGTAAATATTATTTTTTTTAATTTCCAATTTGTCCAGGCTTGCTGTTATCTCATAACTCTCGGTGAAATATCTCACCTTACTCGTCCGAATTTGCTGCTGATTGTTCGGCGAATTTTTCAATATGCAACAGCAAGCCTGGATAATTGGTTAGTGGAAAGAAGCTTGATGCTCTATTAGGGGAATTTTCAAGAAGATGATGAAAATGATTGAAATTTTTTTTTTGAATTTCAATAAAGAATAAGGAAAAAATTGATAAACATAATTGGTTATACATATTCTTTGGTAATTTCTACCAGTTTGGTTGCCGCACTAGCGACTAATTTTTTGACGTTTCTTTTTTCACTCAAATATATTATCTAACCTGTATTGGCACAACATATCTGCATACACCAAGCTTTTCAGGCAATCAGCGCTCCATTCCGCTATAATTTTTATATCTGCGTGAGTGCTGAAAGCTATAACACCAGAAACGCTTGGTAAGGATTTAAAGCCAAAGGCCAGTGTGCACCCATATTCGAAAGCGTAGCAAATTTCTTAAGAACTGAAGGAAATTTGACACAAAAAAATTTCTTGTACGTCCTTGTATATGGTGTTTTTGCTTTTCTTGTGAGGCGAAGAGACAAATTTGTCGATTGCGCAAGATGCTTTTTCATAGTTTGGTAATACAAAACTAAAATTTGTGTTAACATGTTAACACTTTGGGACCTTCTGGGATCTAACCAATAACAGCCAGCACCTATGCAAATTCCGCTACAGCCAAAGGAAGTCTCTTAAAATTTCCTATTCAGTGTTTTTTTTTTTTTTTTTTATTCAAGTCCGACCTCTAGTAATGACAAATGTGGAGTGAATAAGCAGATGAAAACAAGTGTCAGGATAAAGATCAGGATTAAGATAAAAGAAAGAATGAAAAGAAAGATAAACATAACGATAAAACAACGACAGAGACAAAGATAGGGATAGAGAAAGTCATAAAACAAAGAAAAAGATAAAACTGAGATTGTTATGTTATTTTTATTTTTTTTTTGTTCCTTTATTAACAACATAAACATATAAAATATATACATAAATTTTCTCAAAAAATATAATATTTTGTGCGAGAAGATAGCGAATATATTTTTGGATTTTACTGCAATCAGTTGTGATAAGAGGAATTTTTACTAACTAAAGATAGGTAGGTGTTGAGTAATAAATTGCGGTGCATTCATATTTGAGTATAATTGTGGTGGTCATCACATTTTGTGTTGACTTACAATCTTAATTCAAAATTTGATAAAAGTAAGTCTATTACATTTCTTTTAAATAGTAGGATATTGTTTATATTTCTTATTTCTATACAGGTAATTTATTGAATAATCGTATTCCGTAGCTTCTAATAGATCTTGCGCATCTTTCTGTTCGGAAAAAGTGTGTTCTGATATTTTGGGAATTCCTTAGATTATATTCAGTGCTTTCTCTCTCAACGAAATGTAAATTATGTTTTATTAAGTTATTTTTTAACTTATATGTGGCCAGTAGAGTTTGAAGGATTGAGTACTTTCGTATATCAAGCCTATTTATATATAGATTGTGTGTGTTGGTTCTGCGTGGCAGTGAAAGGATGTTTTTTATTACTTTGTTTTGAAGCCTTTGTAATTCACTTAATTTTTGATCTGAGCACCTGTTCCAAATCGGATTTAAATAATTGATTTGAGATAAAAAGAGTTGTATAGAAGCCACAATTGCTTTTTTGGAATGTTATTTCGGTTTCGATAGATGAAGATGAAAAAGTTAAAAGGTAGTACTTTCATTTTTATTTTCTGGATCTGTTCGTTCCAATTCAAATTCTCGTCGAACCATATACCGAGATATTTTAATTTCTCTACCCTGGAAATATAAGTGCCATTGAATAGTATTATTGAAAATGATAAAATTGGTTTTTGATAAATTAATTTGCAGAAGATTTCTAGTGAACCACTTGGAAATTTCTTGCAAATCGGTTTTTATGTTATTAATTAATTCTTCTAGTGTATCTGTTGCATATAAGAACGTGCCATCATCTGCATAGAACTGTGGAACTCCGTGCACTCTGTAAATTACAAATAACGTTGCAGCTAGTTTGGAACCTTGTGGCACTCCTACTTTAAGTGTTTTCACTGAACTTTTGATGTCTACTATTTGAACAATTTGTTTCCTGTCTAACAAAAAGCTTCGGAAAAAGTTTATGGCAGTTTTATCAAATCTCAGTTCATGGAGCTTTCGTAACATTATATTGTTATGTTGAGGTGTTCAGTTATGGTATATTATGTTATTTTGATG